ACTTCCAGTACTATGTTAAATAGGAGTGGCGAAAGTGGGCATCCTTGCCTTGTTTCTGTTCTTAAGAGAAATGCTTTTAGTTTTTGCCCATTGAGTATGATGTTGGCTGTAGGTCTTTCATATATGGCCTTTATTATGTCTAGATATGATCCCTCTATTCCCACACTGCTGAGCGTTTTTATCAGAAAAGGATGCTGGATTTTGTCGAAGGCTTTTTCAGCCTCTATTGATATTATCATGTGGTTTTTATTCTTCATTTTATTTATGTGGTGTATCACATTTATGGATTTGTGAATATTGTACCAGCCTTGCATCCCTGGGATGAATCCCACTTGATCATGGTGGATAATTTTTTTGGTGTGTTGCTGGATCCGATTTGCTAGTATTATGTTCAGGATTTTGGCATCTATGTTCATCAGGGATATTGGCCTGTAGTTTTCTTTCTTTGTATTGTCTTTTTCTGGTTTTGGAATTAGAATTATGCTGGCTTCATAAAACGAGTTTGGAAGTCTTCCTTCTTCTTGAATTTTTTGAAATAGTTTGAGGAGAATGGGTATTAGTTCTTCTTTGAATGTTCGGTAAAACTCCCCCATGAAGCCATCTGGGCCTGGGCTTTTGTTTGCTGGGAGAGTCTTGATTACATGTTCAATTTCTTCTGTTGTTATTGTTCTGTTCAAGTTTTCTATCTCTTCCTGATCTAGTTTTGGGAGACTATGTGTTTCTAGAAATTTGTTGATTTCGCTTAGATTGTCGAGTTTGTTGCCATATAATTGTTCATAGTAGTTGTTAATGATCTTTTGTATCTGTGGTGTCAGCTGTTGTCCCTCCTCTTTCATTTCTGATTCTGTGTATTTGGGTTTTCTCTCTTTGTTTCTTGGTGAGTCTAGCTAAGGGTCCATCGATCTTGTTTATCTTTTCGAAAAACCAGCTCTTTGTTTTATTGATCCTTTGAATTGCTTTTTTGGTCTCAATGTCATTCATTTCTGCTCTGATCTTTACTATTTCCTTCCTTCTACTTGCTCTGGGGTTTTCTTTTTGTTTGCTCTCTATTTCTTTAAGTTGTGAGGTTAGATAGTCTATTAGAGATTTTTCTTCTTTTTTGAGGTAGGCCTGTAGTGCTCTGAACTTCCCTCTCAGAACTGCTTTCGCTGCATCCCATAGATTTTGTGTTGTTGTGTCTTCATTTTCATTGGTTTCCAGGAATTTTTTTATTTCTTCCTTGATCTCCCCGGTGACCCATTCATTGTTTAATAACATGCTATTTAGCTTCCATGTGTTCCAATGTCTTTCTATGTTCTTCTTGTAATTGATTTCTAGTTTCATGCCATTGTGATCTAAGAAGATGCTTGATATGATTTCAATCTTCTTGAACTTGTAGGGACTTAGTTTGTGCACTAACATGTGGTCTATTTTTGAGAATGTCCCAGGTGCACTTGAGAAGAATGTGAATTCTGTACTTTTGGGGTATAGTTCTCTGTAGATATCTATTAAATCCATTTGGTCTAGTGCTTCATATAGAGTCTCTGTTTCCTTGCTAATTTTTTGTCTAGAGGATCTAGCCAGCGGTGTCAGCGGGGTGTTGCAGTCCCCTGCTATGATTGTATTGCTATCGATTTCTCCTTTGAAGTCCTCCAGACGTTTTTTAACATATTTTGGTGCTCCTCTATTGGGTGCATATATGTTTATCAAGGTTATATCTTTCTGTTGGATAGTTCCTCTCAATATTATGTAGTGGCCTTCTTTGTCTCTAATTATGGCCTTCATTATGAAATCTATTTTATCAGATATGAGTATTGCTACCCCAGCTTTTTTTTCTTTTCCGTTTGCTTGGAAGATTTTTTTCCATCCCTTCACTTTCAATCTATGTGTGTCTTTTGTTGTGAGGTGGGTCTCTTGTAAACAACATATAGATGAGTTATGCTTTCTTATCCAATCAGCTACTCTGTGTCTTTTTATGGGAGCATTCAGTCCATTTACATTTAAGGTGATTATTGATATGTACTTATTTATTGCCATTTTTGTTTAGTGTGGTCCTATTTTTCTTCCTATTTCTCCTAGTAATTACAGCAGTTCTTTTAACATTTCTTGCAGTGCTGGTTTGGTGCTAATGTATTCCCTTAGCCTTTTTTTGTCTGGGAAGCTCTTTATTTGACCTTCTATTTTGAATGATAACCTTGCTGGGTAGAGTAGTCTTGGATTCAGATCCTTGTTTTTCTTGACCTTGATTACTTCCTGCCATTCCCTTCTAGCCTGTAGTGTTTCTTGTGAAAAGTCAGCTGAGAGCCTTATGGGGTTTCCTTTGTAGGTAACCTGTTGCTTATCTCTTGCTGCTTTTAGGATTCTCTCTTTGTCTTTAATTTTTGGCAGTTTGATTACTATGTGTCTTGGTGTGGGCCTGTTTGGGTTCTTCTTACTTGGGGCTCTCTATGCCTCTTGAACTTGAATGCCTCCTTCCTTCACCAAATTAGGGAAGTTTTCTGTCACTATTTCTCTGAATATATTCTCTAACCCTTGCTTATTTTTTTCTTCTTCAGGGACTCCTATGATGCGAATATTATTCCGTTTCCAGTTGTCCCACTGTTCTCTTAAGCTGTCTTCCTGTTTTTTAATCGTTTTTTCCTTTTGGTTTTCTGATTGCCTGATTTTTTCTAGCCTGTCTTTTAATTCACTGATCCGGTCCTCAACTTCCCCTACTCTGCTTTTTAGACCTTCCAATGTGTTTTTTATTTCTAATATGTCATTCTTCATTTCTTCCTGTTGGTTTTTAATTTCCAACTGGTTGATTTTCAACATTTCTATGTCTTTACTCATGGTGCTCATATCCTTACAAATGCTGTTGAGCTTCCTCAACATCATGGCTCTAAATTCTAGTTCTGTTAACTTGCTTAACTGCACCTCATTTAGCTCATCTTCCGTAGAGGTCTCATGTTCTTTCATTTGGCTTTTGTTTCCGTTTTTCACCATTTTGGCTATCACAGTGGGCTTTGGAGTCTGCCAAATTTTCCCTGTGGGTGTTGGTGTTCTGCTGTTTGTGATTCCCTCTCCTGGGTTTGGATGAGCCAGGGAGGACCCACCTTAAACCCCACTTTCAAGTCTTAGCTTTTCTGGTTAGTGTTGCTAGCCCATGGAATGGTAGTTATCCTGTAGCTTTTTTTTTTTTTTCCTGGAGGCTGTTAGAAGAGGTTACCTGAAGACCTTTGTTTTCTGAGTTGCCTGAAAAACTCCCTCAGGTGCTCAGTGTAATAGGATTTCCTGAGGTTGGGGCAGCTGCTGGTTGTTAATGGGCCTCAATTAGCATTTCAATGGCCACCAGGTGGGATTGAATCTCTGAGGGAGGGGCCTCCACCTCGCCTCTCCCCAGGGCCCTGGGAAGGAGTAAAATGACCACAGTCCTGCTTGGCTGCACTCAGGGAAATCTCTTAGCACCCTCCAAAACCCGAGTGTCCCCACACAGTTCCAGTCCAGTCTGCCTTCCCTCTGCTGAAGCCCAAGGTGAGTGGCTGCTGCCAATTTAGCCTCTGTCTAGACTCTGCATTGTGGAGCCGCCTAGGACTTTTAACCCGAGGCCTCTGCTTCCAGCCAAGGGCGGCCACGGCTGTGTCAGCAGCAGAGGGTTTTGCACTCAGCAGAAGCCCCAGGACTGAGCCGCAGTAGCGGGACACTGCCGGGGTGGCAGCAGCTTCCAGCAGAGTCCGCTCATCCCTGTGAGTCTGTGTGGCACCAGCCGAGGGCTTATCACGCAGAGTTCGCAGGACTCAGCCTCGGTAGCAGTGTCCCGCCGAGTCCCCTGGTCGCAGCCAGTCCGTGCCAGTCCGTGCCAGTCCGTGCAGCACCAGCCAAGGGCTTAGCAGGCAGCAGAGTTCGCAGGACTCAGGCGGGGTCGCAGCCGAGGCGGCAGCAGCAACTTCCCACCGCTGAGTCCCCTGGTCCCCATCCAGGCCGCTGAGGACCGTGGGCTCCTGAGGACCATGGGCTCCTGGCCCCCTCTAGCATCCTCGCATGCCTACCAGGATTGAGTCGGTGTCCCTGGTTATGTGGTCCTCCCAGGTGTCTTTCGGTTGCCCCTTCCTGAAGATTTGCCTGTATTTTCATTGTGAATCCAGTTTGGTCCTGGGAGATGGTCTGTGTAGCTCCATTCACTCTGCCGCCATTTTTCCTTCCTCCTAATCCTAGTGTTTTAATCATTTCTTTTCCTGTGTGAAGATCAACCCCAGCTAGTTTTCCCTCATTCGTACAAATGACAAGAAAAAGCATAAAAACCCTCTGAGTTCTTGTTTTTCCAAATCTATACTGTTCTTTCTCTCAGAATGTTTTTTACTCTCCCCTTCTACGTAACAATCACTAAAAATCTAGTCAAGTCCATCTTTGAAATAGTAAAGTGTTTATTAATTTTTACTCAGGGAAAAACTCCCAAAGCTGCTCTTCTAGAGTACGTTTCTAGCATTTTGAGTAAAATTTGAATAATTGCTGTTCTGGTGGTTTTGCTATATATAGTGGAGCCTGGAGGATCTTGTAGAACTGAAAATGTGTTTCAAGTGCAAGGATGTGGTGGAATAAGCAATAGAGTCCGCTGCTATTTTGGAGAAAATGATATAAGTTTCAGGAGCTTGAAAAGGATTGTCTCTTGTCCCTACTATTTCTTAATCATGAAAAGTCTTTTGATATAATACATCACTACTTAATCATATTTTATCCCTTTGATAGTGGATGTTAAGACTTTATCAAGGAATCCTGCTTTTAGAAACCACAAAAAGAAAGTAAACTCTGCTCATTTTTTTAAACAAAATTTCTATTCAATCCATATTGTACTGTCTTCTCCCAGAGCAACATATGATGGTCTAACTTCACTCCGTGTTAGAGTGTTCACAGTGCAGTAAAACATACAGATTTAGTTTCGCTTCTGCAATCTATTACTGAATAAAAGAGCAATCAGATATAATTGAAACTAAATTGGATTTAATTGTCCTACCGATGTATAATATTCTTATCCTTGGTTGCAGATCATTTTTCATTATCACTTGTATGGAAATGGCATCGGGGCACTCACCTTGCTCCAGACATCAGTCTCCAACCAAACAAAGTTCCTAGTCAATCTCACAGCAGAACAAGGCAACTTCTGGCAGCGGAAAGAGGTGGTGCTGTCTGGCGAGGAGGACTTCCGGCTCACATTTGAAGGCAGAGTTGGGAAAGGACACCGTGGCGACATTGCACTGGATGACATCGTGCTTACGAAGAGTTGTCTCCCATCCCGTCGGTCCGTGAACGGACAGCCAGCGGTGCCTCTTCCAACAGGTACGTTTTAGTTTGTGTGTGTTTGGTGGTTTTACAGGGTAGAAAGTGGGAAGGGAGAAAGGGGATGAAAAGGAATAACATACACAGGTAGTAATGTACTGCTTTCATCATGAAAAGAAACTTTGTATTCTAAAAAGTTACTTGTCAGGCCTTTTCTTATAAAAGTATCTTTCAAGTTTTCTCCAAGCTTCGGTATATTTAGCAGTTCCTGAGTTCTGTTTAGTCAGCCTTTTTTTTAGATCAATAAAATAAGAGCAGACACCTTTGTTTGCAGTCTGATACACAATTTAATCTTTAAAAATATTGGTTCACTCAATAAAATGTATGAACACCGAAGGCAGAGATATTCAGTCTTAGTTAGCCATTACTGTGGTTATGCTGTTTTCTTTATTCTTGTTAGACTGACAAATCTAATCTGAGTAGCTGAGTTTATATATTTAAATAGTTTAGATGACTAAATATGTCTATATATTCTTTCAACCTAAAGTATCTTTTGGTAATGTGTCTAAAGAATTATGTTAAAATTTTGATTTGATAGATGTTCAATATAAAACATACAGTGACAATGTAAGAAGTGAAAATAGCAAGCACCATGAATGCACAGAATATACTAGAGGTATGAGATGAAAACAAACCAATATGTATTATTAAAATGACAAAAGAGCAAATTGTGTCAGTTGATAATATGACATATTAATATTTAAACCATGAGTTTAACATCAAAAACAAAAGTGCCGTTTCTTTGGTAGCTAAATTCTTTCTCTTATAATTAATGAAAACAAAAGTGCTTTAAGAAGAATGCATTTGTTTGCTTTGGCTTTTAAGATGTTTGATGCAGTAAGGAATATTGCCATTTCTACCTCTGTACCCATTCATTTCAAAGGGAGCATTTTAAATTAGTTAAGAGAAAGTTTCTAGGTCAATGTTTTACAGTTGACAACCAGTTAAATAGGATCCTTGCCTACCATGTGTTTAGCACTATATGGAAAAACATAGAGGAGAACAAACAAACATTTCAAGACTGTGTTAAAGAATAAGTATATGTACAAGAATGAAATGTGAAAGCATTTCAGAAACCTCAGACTAACCTACTTCCTTGAGAAAAAATTTGCTTTGCAGTCTGTGTGGCTGTTTGAATGACAGGTTTGCTAGCTCTTGTACGGGTCTGGTCTTTTTAATAGTAATTTTTATCATAACAAAAAAGTAATCTCGTAGCATCTGAGCAGAAAGAGAGTAAAATTTTATGTTGAATCACTTCAAACATTAATGAGCAACTACTACATGGGGTGCAAGAGGAATAAACCAATCTTGTTGAAAATATTAAATTTTTAAACCTGTGAAATCTTGAATAAGTTAATTTTTCTGTAAACTTCCAAAGGGAAAATTCAAAAGTATCTACAAAGTGGTAGAAAATATATATTAATTATCAAATTAAGGGTACATATTCATAATGTTAGAGTTCTTTATTCTTTGAGGTATTATATTACATTTTTTGATGAATAGAAAATAAAAGGATTTCTGTTCTTCAGAATCACTCAAGGAAAAGGGGAACAAGAAAAATACCTCAAATAACTCTAATAGTAGTTAGAATATGCTCAAGTGCCAAGAGAAATAAACAAAATGGTATAAAGGTACAGAGATGATGAAGCAAACATCCAGTTGAGAACATCTAATCTGAGACATCTTTACAGGATGCCCAGATGTTGGAACCAACCACACTTGGACTTGGTAGGAAGGAACGAGCCCTTCATTTTGCAAGACGGGGAGGCCGAGTGTGAGCACTGTGGACTGAGTGTGACAGGAAGGGCACTGTGGGCAGGTCCAGGGGCGGGAGAGAGCTGAGATGGTGTCGTGCAGACCATGGAGGTGAACTGTGTGGGGTGATTTGGCTGAAGCAGAAATCTTATGTAGCTGAGCATCTGAGATAAAATATAACACAGGAAACAGGGAGCTAAGCTGAATATTAGTGTGTTTTTATTTTTTCCCAAAACAAACATACACTGAAAGGTTTCATAAAATAAACAAGAAAGGAAGGACAGAAGAAAGAAAGGAGAAAAGGAGGGTGGGAGGGAGGAAGGCAGGCAGGCAGGCAAGAATAAAGGGCCAAAAAGCTGATACAATGTTCATTAATTTCGAGTATGATAATTGGTATGAATGGCTGTAGTAGAAAGAGCCCCCACCTCCCCCAACCAAAAAAATTACCAAATGTCTTTATTTATGCTATTTGAAAAATTCTGAAAATTGAGGTGAAATGATTTAGTGGTTTCCTAGCAATCTCCTCTGTGTCACCTACATTCAACTGCAGCAGATGGAAACACATGTGGAGTAAGCGTTCCTAGAAACCATTTGAGGCGCCTTTACCTTGCCTCAGAGACCAAACGTATATGCCTTTCTCTTGGTGAAAGTGAAAAGCTTAAGTTTTTGAGACTTGAAATGTGAAATATTTCTGAATAACTATGATTTCATCATGAATTCACAGGACTCTGTTGGAGTCTCTGATTTTTTAAAAGAAGGCCATCTGTCTGTCTATCTATCTATATCAATCATCTATCATCTATCTATCATTTATCTATCATCTATCTATTTATTATCTATCTATCTATCTATCTATCTATCTATCTATCTATCTATCTATCTATCATCTATCATCTACCTATCTAATCTATTTATATATGGGGGGGGGTGTGTATCCTGAACAAATGAAACATCGTACTGCTTCCTCTGATCTTCACGAAAGCTGGTGTAGAGTTTACCGGCATCACGGACGTCTCACAGAAGTATGAGTCACAAATGTAAGCCACATATGTGATTTTACATTTTCTAGTAGTTATGTCCAAAAAGTAAAATAAATTTTAATAATATATTTTCATTAACTCAACGTATTAAAATATTATTATTCAACACAAGGGCACTATAAATTATTAATATTTCACATTCTTGTTCTCATATTAAGTCTTTAAGTCCAGTGTATATTTTACCTAACAGCTCACTCAGTTTGGATTAGCCACATTTCAGTTGCTCAGAAGCTACTCTTGGCTAATGGCCACCCTAGTAGGGAGCACAAGAGTTGAAGTGAACACTGGGGCACTTTCAGGTCTGTCCCTGACAAGGGGGTTCCATTTGTCGGGGTAAAATGTGTAGATTCCCAAGAATGACAGTTGTATTCTTACTTAAATAGAAGCACAGACATGCACCCCGAGGCCAGATGTGAACGGCACAAGTAGTGTGCTCTAGTGGGCTGGTCTCAGACTTCTTTCTACGTGCTGCGCTCCTCTGAGACTCAGCTTCCTCTTCTATAACGCGAATAGATTATCACCTATTTCTTATGTTCTTGGGCTCTTACCTTATGTAGCCTATGGAATTTGTCTAGTCACATGGCTGGTATAAGGTAAGCATTTATTCAATAAAATCATCTCATTTCATATTTTGGGGCACCTTTGTCAGTATTCCATAGGCAATGTAGCCATCTGAGACTAAGTCTTCATTATTTGCATTTTTATTAAAACATGTTTCTACCATTTGTTTTTTTGACAAAATTATGTTTCTTGCAGAGATCACTGCATTTAATTATTTTATATTATATTATAATCATTCAATCTTATCACTTATTTATTAATTATTATTTTTTAGGGTTGTTTTGGCTATTCTTTTTTAGGGTTGAAAATCTTATCACTTATTGATAACCTTTTGTTATTTTTTAATAAGTCATGAATAATGTGTATGTAAGTGTGTATCTTTGAAATGTTTAATAATTATTAATTTCTTATTATGGCAAAAACACTTAACTTGGAACTTTCAAGGTTAGAAAAGGGTAAATGAAAGTATGTTCCACAAGCAGTACCTACATTTATTAAAGTTCTGGAATTGACTCCAATTTGTGCAGCCTTTTCATCTACATTCATGAGTGTAGGTGAACAACTCTGTCAAGGAAAGCTTAAAACAGGAGAGACAAGAGGAGACAAAACATATATATTTAGAAACAAACAATTAAACTTAATCTGGAATCAGTGATTCTAATTAGTCAAATAAGACCCAGGGATTGCCCAACCAGTGTGGCTCAGTGTATTGAATGTAGTCCTATGGACTGAGAAGTTCCAGTTTGATTTCCAGTCAGGGCACATACCTGGGTTGCTGGCTCGATCCCCAGTGGGGGGTATGCAGGAGGCAACCGATGGATGTATCTCTCTCACATAGATATTTCTTTCTTTTTTTTTTTTTTTATCCTCACCCGAGGACATTTTTTCATTTTTTGTTCAGGTAGAGTGGGAGGGAGAGAGAGGAACAGAGAGAGAGAGAGAAACATCGATGTGAAAGGAACACATCGAGTGGCTGCCACCCGTACAACTGACCAGGGCCGGGGACAAACCGCAACCGAGGTACATGCCCTTAGCGGGAACCGAACCTGGGTCTCTCAGGACCGCAGGCCGACGCTCTAACCGCTGAGCCAAACTGGCCAGGGCTCACATAGATATTTCTTTCTCTCTCTCCCTTCCTCTCTAAGAAATCAACAAAAGCATATTTAAAAAAATGTGCCCAGGGATTTAGTAGAAAAATTAGTATTAAATTATTATTAAGTTTCCAGAAGTTATATTTAAGAGCTTATTTTTATTTATTTATTTATTTTAGAAAGGAAGACTCAATGTTTTCCCACTATTACATATATTGGGTGACATGAACATAAGTAAGAGTGAAAAAATGTGTTCATAAAAATGCCTCTTTTTAACTTTTTACTGAGTTAATTGGGATGGCATTGATCAATAAAATTGTATAGGTTTCAGGTGTATAATTCTATAATACATCATCTTTATATTGTATTGTGTGTTCAGCACCCCAAGTTATGTTACCTTCCATCACCATTATCACCCCTTTACCTTTTCCTACCACCACCACCCCCTCTTTTCCTCTGGTAATCACCATACTGTTGTCTGTGTCTATGAGGTTTTTTTTTGCTTTATTCCCTTCACGTTTTTTACCCAGCCCCCCAACCCCTCCCCTCTAAG